CACGGGTGCGGGACCCCAGGGGAGTCCCACGGTTTTGGTAACCCTATTAAATATAATCACAATTTGTTTTAGTTAATAATTTATAATTTTTTAGTTTAAATAATTAAAAATTTAAATAATCATTGATTATTAATCAAGTTTGTTTTGACAAAAAGATTACTTGCCTCTCGTCGTATGGTTTAATTTGCATTGTATTAAATAACAATAACTTCATTAGTCTTTATTAAATAATAGCCAGAATAGTGGTCACAATAAGTGTTAATTATGGATAATAATAGCGTTAATGGTTATAAAAATCTAAACACAATGTTAGCGTTGCCACGTGTTTATCACGTGCTTTACATAAAACCACAATGTAATAAATAACGTTAATTTTATGGTAATTAAAAAAGATTTAATTTATTATAATTATTCAAGTTTTAATAATTTTTAATGTTAAAAATTCAAATGTAAAGTAAAATAACTGATAAGTTGAGAACAAAAAAGGCACCAATTCAGCGATTACGCGGGTTATAAGCATAGGGTGACCAGTTGTACGCGCACAACACCGTCGAGTCGTCCAGAAAGTTGGCGATAAATATCAGACACCGGCGCAAACCGTCGCCGCACTGGCCCTGCGAGCCGTACGCCCGGCGCACCTCTACTGAACCCCACTGGCCATCGCTGGCGCGGCCATTGAGTACAGTGTCCAACACGTCGGGCATGTATGGGGGCGGCTGCTCGTGGGCGGCGTAGGGTTCGTAATAGTAATCTATGGATTAAATACAATAAAATATCAAAACAAGGTGTGACTCATCTCTTACCCAAAAAATTGGTAATTTTTTAAAATTAATAAACTTGAGTATTAAAAGTACACTCACACTCAAGCCCGGTGGCCACCCTATGCTGAACGAGTACACTCGGGTGAACAATGACGTACGGCGTGTCGTACGGCGATATGACCAGGTATACGGACCAGTCAGCCCGCGCCGCCCCGTTGGCCAACATTTGGCGCACTAGTGTCGGTTCGTTTTTGAAATAGTGGTCAAATAGCACACCCTTAGTGTCCCGATCGTCGTCTCGGCTCTGGTCAGTGCTTTTGCCAATGATTTCCGGCGACAGGTATACCCCGTCGGGTACCGGTGCCCACCTATTAATCATAGCGTACCAAAACTTTACCTCCAACTCGCGCACCAATTGTTTGTCCATGCTACGTGTTTATCATAGTAATAGTAAATTTATCATGATTAAAAATGTAAACAAAAATAGCACAAAACTTTGTAATGATAAAATTTTTTGTAACATAAAACAAAAAAAATTAACATAATATAAAAATTTTTAACAATGCTTAACAATATGTATGTAAAGTACATACCCTATTACGCCGATTGTGTGAGAGTATTGACCCCTATTTATCATTATCACCTCCTCGGCCATCACGTCGTGGCCCCGCCGCCCGACGGGTACGATATTGTCCGGGCCGTCAAACGCCGGTCCCGACCAATGACCGGCCACTGCTCTGGTACCGGTCCCGTTACCGGTATCGGGTGCCCGACGTTTCGTACCCTTTCTCTTAGCCCTATAAACATGTGTTAATTTTTGTTATGTTTTATAGTTATAGAGATTTATTAATTTACTTACATTTGTTTTGATGTTGGTGTTTTAATAATAATTAGCGTTTATTACCTGGAGTTATAAATGATTAACACATTGTTACATATCGTAATAATTAGTTATAAATAGTTACTTTAAGTAAATTTACCTTATTTTGTTATTTTTGTTAACACTAAATATATGCCATGTGGTTATCACGTGCAAATATTTACAATACCATATCCAATAATATAACCTACATGTATTATCCATGGGCAGTAATAGGTATACATAAACGATGTTCATAATTGTTATTAAATGACCCTTTTTGATATGTAAGCAAATTATTTATCAAAACTATTCTATTATAACAATTAAGTTATTTTTAATTTAGTTTTTATACTTAATTATTGAGATTTGCAGTTTAAAGTTAATACAGTAATTGAATAATTGATAATATATGACTACATGAATATTCTGTACAATTATTATTTTTTTCCCATTATAGAACTTAAAACAAAATGGTAAAAATGGCAAAAATAATAATAAAGCATAATTGTAAACAATAAAAACTGTCCCAAAAAAGTCACCTTAATACAGGGTGTTTTTTATTGGACTACAACATTTTAAAGTCGAATATCTCGAAATGTATTCGGTCTAGAAATTCAAATGATATATCGAAATACTCATC